CTAGTTTGTGTAAAAGAAAAATATTGTTTTAAATAAAAATTTATGATCATTTATGACAAGCCACAACCAAACGAACAGGCCGATGCATATTTCTATCACCTCTCTCTTGACTTCACTTTCAGCAGTCCATAAAGCATTGCATGCATGCAAAAATTATAGTGAGTTAAAATCAACCTACTCTAAATTCAGGTGCTAGTGCACTTTTTGCATCGACACAACAAGGAGGCCTATGGGTGTACTTTTCGCATGTGCTAGTACTTCTGTTCCAAAACGCAAGCAGCTGATCGATGTGGTGTCATCAGGCTGTAAGCCTCCGTTTTCCTACGGACCAAATATATTTGTATCAAGATTAGCATTTGTAAAAAAAAAAAGAAGCCGTACATTTATGCTATACAAATCTGACGTGGCCTTTTTACAGCTGGAAGAAAATATGATAACTTCTTCTCAAGAAAATATGGTCAAGTTGGATCTTATTTTGTACATAAAATCACAAGAAATATTATGGTGAAAACAAATAACAAATCGGATGTATGGTTAATTAGATATTAGGATTTAAAGCTCGATCATCTATCAATTTTAAACTCCGTGCATGCACACATGGTGTTTTATGTCTCTCATGCTATCTCCAACAATAACACCTAAAATACAAGACATATTCATCCTTTGGGTAGTACTACAGGCAAAAGATTTAATATATATTTGACATCTTCTCTAACAATAAGATCCAAAAGAGAATCCTTTCTGTAAATGGGTTTTCAAGAGAGATGATACTCATATTTAGGTTGTGCCTCTCAGACAATCCAAAATATATCTCTATATAGATATTTTATTAGAGACTGATTTTGAATCTCTTGTTAGCTATTTTAGATTTAGATGCCCTTACGAGTTGTTCAACGGAGACAGTCTCACATCCACCAGCGCACTCCTAATTTGAAAAAGCCGACGCCGTCCTCCATGCAGTGGACCCCACTGCTCCATGCCCTAAACCTGCGCTATAGGAAAATTTGGTGACCACGGCGCACGCTCTATTTTCTCTCTGTTTCCTTTTGAGTCACTCACAAGCGGGCTGAGCTGCCCACGTGGAGAGCCGCACGGTGCAAAAATGTGCAAAGCAACTCCCGCCTGTAGCATGTGGTCCAGTCACAGCCAAAAAAGGCTAAACAAGCTCCATTCATATAGGTCTGTTCGCCCGGAAGAATTCTGGCTGAATTTAAATGAAAAATACTATTTCAAATAAAAAAATAAACAGATCAAATCGAATTTAAGAGCACACAAATGGAGCCATACTTCGTTTGCCAAAAGAAGACCACCAATTCAACTGTGTGTGGCATCACTTGTCGCCGATCCGAGGGCTGGCTAGCTATCACCCCTTAGCTATCCCTCATTCTAGAAATTCTACACTAATATATATATATATATAACTACTACCCTATAGCCGGCTACAAAATAATTTATTCTGTAGCTACTTTAAGTTACGATAATTACTATGTTAGTTTATGAAATTATAGTAACTTTTTACTAAGAGGTTTACTATAACATTATGGTAAATATCTCCATATATTATAGTAATCTAACTATCATAAATATGTATTCACTTTATCATAAATTAGTATATAAAATTATCATAAATAGAGATGGTTACCAAATAACTTATTCTATAACTGGCTAGTGAATATACCCTGTATATATATATATATATGGCTCTATATTTTGAGGAGTACTACGTACGATCGGCACGCAGTCTCAGTGTTAACCGAGGGAAGGAGTTGGCAAAAGGAGTTTGGGTGGTGAGGTTTGTGCATGTCTGCCACTACTGCTGCCACACGCGCAGCGCAGCCCTGCCGGTTGCTGCCGACCCGGAGAACAGGGACAAACGTCGTCTTTGGTTTATAAGCTATACTTTTTCGACTAACGAATAATATATTTTTTTATAAAAAATTAGTCAACAGTACTTTCAGTCATGGCTTATCAGTCGAGCGAACAGGACACTAGAGAGGAGGGAGGCGATCAAGACGCAGGCTCGCTGTACTTCCCATCTGATTCGAAGCCTGTTCACTGGTTAATTTCTGGACTGATAAACTCGGCTAAGGCTAATTTATTGTGAGAGAAAAATACTGTTGGTTGACTGATAAGTCCTGACCGAAACCATCAAGCGAGAGGATGATTGCACTTGCACATCCCAATCCTGTTCCTGTAAAGGTCTGCTCGTGCTTACTGTGGTGCTGACGCTGGGGCAGGGCACAGCATGTTCGGTTGGCTGATTCATATCGTTGCTGGTTCGTAAAGAAATATTGTTGGCTGATTTATGTGAGAGAAAAACACTATTTCGACTAAAAATTTATGATCGTTTACGACGAGCCACGGCCAAACAAACGGTCTGACAGGCTCGCCGGCGATAGTACTGATGATACTAGCAGCGGCGGCAGCAACGGGTCGTCTTCTCCTTCGCCGTCGCCAACAACGACGACCCGCAGCAGCTGCAGCTGTGGGTGATCGATGACTCGTACGCGGACACGGGGAACCTTGGCGACCTCGGGCGGGAGCTGACACACGCGTGATACGACCCCTACGGCGCCACCTTCCCCGGACGCCCCACCGGCCGCTTCTCCGACGGCCGCGTCCTCACCGACTTCATAGGTATTTCCCAATTCATCCGTTCCCATCTGAACCTGATCGAACTGCCTGCCTGCTGCTATTCAGTTCAGTTTCAGTTGGTAATAACCAATCGAATTATATGTGCACATGGGATGGGATGGGATGGAATGGAATGGGGTGCCTAACAGATGTTGGCTGGCCCGCGCCCAATGCGGATGAGTACCCTACCCTCGGATTCATGGGCGTGCTTAGCTTCCCTCTGGTTGCCGCCGCTTGGCGCTGGCCTCACATGATCACATCACATACTACGCACTGACGTGTCTGTGTGATGACGATTCATTTTGACCAAACTCTGGCTGTGTGAGATACATACATACTCCGCCATGCCCTGCCTAATCGTCATTTTGTACAGCATCATCCATGCATCTGGATCGGTTCTCTTTTGGTTTCTGTGCATGCTGGTGCGTGCCTAATCGATGCATGGGTCGAGGTGGAATGCACATGCCCCGCCATGCCCTGCAACGTGCTAGCTAGTGTGGTACGTATTAGCCAAAACTTGCCTCCAGTACCGTATCTCAGATTCTCAGTATCTTTCTGTCCTCGTCGATCGATCAGAGGTTTTTTCTTTTTTTGGGTGAATGATCGATCGGCTATTTCAATTTACTAGGCTGGCAGATGACACATATTTACGGTACTAACTCAATTTTAGATATCAGAGTGGTGGCAGCACCATATATTTCGGCATTATTTGCAGCCGTATAATATGTATGTTGACTCTAGAGGACGGATATGTACTGGACCGCTAGTTATATATATATATATATATATATATATATATATATATATATATATATATATATATATATATATATATATATATATATGGATATATTCAGTAGCTAGCTACAAAATAAGTTATTCTATAGTCATCTTCAATAATGTCAATACATATTTACGATAGTTTGGTTACGATAACATATGGGGATATTTACCATAACGTTATAGTAAACCACTTAGTAAGGAGTTACTATAATCTCGTAAATTAATATAGTAATTATCGTAACTCAAAGTGGCTAGTAATAAGTTATTTATAGCCACAAGCTGAGGTATAGTATATATATATATATATATATATATATATATATATATATATATATATATATATATATATATATATATATATATATATATATATATATATATATATATATATATATATATATGCGTCCAAAACATCTTTGTCGACCCAACAGGCTTCTGCTCGGCATAAAGTGATCATCAAATATTTTGAATATCTAGCTTGCTAGCTAGGTGGTGGTGCGTCACGATCAAGCAATCTACTCCTACTGTCCTAGTCCTAAACAAAAAGGAGAAACAGATAAAATGCAGTGGCAGCATGCATGGCATTCCTTCCTACAAGAGCGAACTGCACGCGTTAGTGTTTATTTGCAGCGTATATATGCTTATTGCACGGGGCAAAGTAAAGCTGCTAGTGAATTCTTCTTGCACGTACGGCCCCTGCTGATGATCACACTGCATAATAGTATAATATGTGTTATTAATGGCCAATCTGAATCTACATCTGCTAATGGCATGCTACACGGTGTCATTACTCACTACTAGTTAAACAACCAGCACATGCGCGCGTGCATCTCAAATCCTCAAGTCCTAGTACAAGTTCTACTATTATACTAGTGGTAAAGGTTTTTTTATTTTTTTCCTGCTACTAATCAAGTGCTACTAGCTACTAACTCAGTGTCCGTTTGCTGCTTGGAATTGGAACCATGTGGCATGATGCAGCTTCGGCCATGGGAATGCCAACGCCGGTGGCATACAAGCTGCGCCGGGGCGCCGCCCGCGGGCTGTTGGCGCGCGGCATGAACTTCGCCGTCGGCGGCGCGGGCGTGCTGGACACCGGCAACTTCCAGCGCAATATCAGCGCGCAGATCGACCTGTTCCAGGCGCAGTAGCAGCACCCTGTCCCTGCGGCAGCAGCCCACGGCGGGGTCGCGCTCGTCGTCGTCTCCGGCAATGACTACTCCTACGCCGCCGACAAGGACAACAGCACAAGCGTGAGTTTTACTACTATATATACAAACAACAATTACCATATGATACATCTGAAACTGACACTTGCGATGGCACGCACGCAGGCCGCGATCGCGTACATCCCGACGGTGGTGCGTGAGCTCGGGGAGCAGCTCCGGCGGCTGCGTGACGACGTCGGGATGCGCAGCCGGAGAACCCTGACGCCAGCGAGGTTGCCCCTCTGCCTTGGCGTGCTATTTGGTATTTGATAATCGATAATCGTCTTACAGAGTCACGGGCACTTAAGTGCCATACAATTTCTAGCCTGTGGGCCCACAATGTCATACAAGAATGAATAAATGTGTTTGCTTCTGCAGATGACGGCTTCCGGCAGCTCACTCAGCGGCAGCCGGTGCACCTGGGCTGACAGCAGGGTGGTGGTCACCAACGTGCACCCGCTGGGGTGCACGCCGCTCTTCACCCGCGCGCTCAACTACAGCGGCTGCGACCCGCTGGCCAACACGGGCGCGGCGCAGCACAACGCGGCGCTCCAGTCCGTGCTCGCCGCGCTCGACCCGGCCAACCGCACCTTCCTCCTCCTCGACCTCAACGCGCCCTTTGCGGCCTTCGCCGACGCGCCGGAGCCGGCGGCGGCGGCAAGCAGGTTCGCTGAGCCGAGGCGCCCGTGCTGCGAGACCTTCGGGAGCACCGCCGCCGGCGGCTACTGCGGCCAGGAGGACGACGACGGGAGGAGGCAGGACGTGCTGTGCGACGACCCCAGCAAACACTTCTACTGGGACAATGTCCACCCCACGCAGGCCGCCTGGGCCGCGGTCGCCGAGACTTTCAGGCCCAAGATCCGCGAGTTCCTCTCCAGTTGATCATTTGATCGACGCTCTTCTCAAAAAAAAAAAAAGATCGATTACGCTGTTCCCCTACAAAAATGTCAGTGTCAGTTTTCCTTGGAACAATATAAAGCTGATACGAGTTATGACAGAAGCAAGTTTTCACCAAAATACACACTGCCAGTGGGCCAGCACTGCATACTGAACCATCAAAGACCAATATTGCTCTGGAAACAAAAATGGCATGTGTTTATCCGGCCTTCTACATTTTTTACTGTTACACAATAATCACCAGGCGACCTCAGCTTCCTTTTTCTACTGTTACACAGAGTTACAGCTAACGGGTTCAAAATCAGTGTTTGCCTGAGGTCGCCTACCTCGCTAAACAATCTACAAGTTACAAGCACAACTAATTGATTGATTGGTCCATATAAGAACTAATCAAGATTGCTATCCTATCATACTTACCGAGAGGTCAGTAAGTCGCCAGCAACCAGACTGGGGCCACTACGAGGTAACCATGTCGTCATTGACTTCTGGCGCTAGTTGCGGTGCTGGTGTGACATCTATTGGGCCAACTTTGCTCTTAGCAGCTTCATACTCTGATAGGAGGTCCATAAACTCATTGAGCAGCCGCTGGACTTTCCGGTTCGATGCCATCGATGGAAGTATGTCTTCCCTGAGGAGTTTGTGCTTCTTCATCCCCTGTGCAATTGCCATCAGTTACTTTTACAAACTGGAGATCATGTACGCTAAGAACATGAGAACTGGAGTGTCATCTATTTACAGTTCATGAACCCTCATGGTTATCTAGAAAGTGGATGAGTCTAGTATGCACATGGCGAGGGAAAGAGAGACTTACGAGAACATCAGGATCCCACGATGGATTTTTGGGTTCCGTAGATGATGCAGATCCAAGCATGCCCATCGGAGGACCTAGGAAGTTCTCACAAACCTCACGTAAACGAGATTCGTCTGCTTCTCTGCATATAAACAAGAAAAATAAATAAAATAAAATAAATGTGCCAGTAAATCATCACCAAGTAATTTCCATCGGACAAAGATATTGACATATTTTGTCGGTCAGTTCAACAGACACAGCTGATCCCCCACATAACTAACCTTGCCAGAAACCGTATGTAGGATAGAAGGCATTGGCGATACTCCTGTGGTGACTTCAAAGCCAAAGAAGCTGCCAACTGGGTCTCTAAATGGGCACGTGTCTGCAAACCATCATCTGTAACCCTGAAACAGAAACTCCCACATCAGTATGTTTAGAGCAAACTCTGATATGTAGTACATCAGCATGCCATAGACATAATTTCAAGTGTTCATAAATACTAAAGCAATCAAAGCGGTATGCAAACCTGCTCCATATAGGCTTTCTAGCCATGAACTTGCCTAGATCAATCTGCAACTTGCCCAGCTCTCCACCTTGGGGGGAATTAAATGAGCTAGCAAAATTTGATGCTGGAAAACAATCATCGGCAATCCTTAACCAGCACTTCATGCTCATGTCAAAAAGAAAAGCATGGCGACTGGCAAGGACAACTAAGGGAAAACCACATCTTGAGAATTTAGCAGATATAACCTTTACTGCACCTGTCAACAAGGCAAAGATAACTAGTAAGCACCAACCATTTCAGCAAACACTTAGATGCAGCAAAGTTCAGAATAGCCATCTCAGGCTGTATGCAGAACTGAAGACTATATGTACAAATAGTTACCAGAATGATTTGCTGACGACTCATCTGGAGATGCAACCAAAGAAGCCAATGAGTCCTGCAAAATGCAGGTCCTGTTATAGAGGTCCCATATGTACATTAGACCTCTTCTTGTGACAAGAAGCAATTTCCAACAGTCGTCACAGTCTATAAAAACAGCTGCGGATCCCATCATCATTGCCGGCATTGCTCGTCTTCCACATTTTGTGTAAACCTAGTTAATTAAGAGCAATCGATTGTGAGAACACAAAAACCTATTCCAATAATAATTGACTGGGGTTACATAGTACTCCCTCATTTTCAAAAATAAAGGAGCAGTTTGACCCGGTGTGGAGTCCACTGCCACACTTTGACCGTCAATATCTCATATATATTATAATGTTTACGACCATGAAATTTGAAATCATACTTAATTTGCATGGTATAATCTACAAGTTCTTGGAGTAATTGTTACTCAACACTTAAAAGTTCAAATCTTCAGTTGTGTGCGCACCTTAAAAAAAAGGAGGGGCGGTAGCATCCATTTAAAAAAATCAATCTATAAGAAATTCAGATAAGAAAATATTACTCACCTGCAGGTAACCATCTTCACAGCCAACAGCCCAGAAATTTGCATTGCCTGCCAAGACAGTAACCTTTGCAGATATACGATCCAACCAAAGAGTTTCTGTTCCTCTTGTACACCTTATCTCAGTTTCTTTTGTTGAAAAGGCACCACTAACACCAATCATATCACCTGCAGCGCGTTCTATAGGCTTTGCTTCAAGGCAGACTGTCAAGGAATCCTCATTGTCTTTCTTATCTAACACATGTATTGAAAGTGCGGAGCAGGTCAAAGAGCCTGGAACAACAGATCCAGTGCGTTCTACACTCAACATTCCATCACTGCCAGCACTGGTTGAAGCTTTTTGAATAACAAGACTCTCTGTAATGTTCGCCCTTGCTGTAACACCAGAGCGATCCTTAACTCCAGAGTTGTTACAATTACTGTTACCACCATAAGATGGTCTTATCCCATTCATTCGCTGATCTAGGGATGAAAAATCCATAGCCTGGTTCTGAGAACGGCTGGGTATGTTATCCTGGTTGGAAGGAAATCCAACAGCCTCTGGAATTATTCTTTTCCGGCCATCTGGGCGCCGGTATTCCCTCTGCTTCACTGGACTAGATAACCGAGTAACTTTATTCATATCATCAGCAGCAGGACCTAATGTTTTCTTCTCAGCTTCAGGTAAAGTTTCAGGAGCTTTCTGACTTTGCACAACAGGAGCTGGGTTAGGCACATCTGCAGAAACTTTTGGGGGTGCTTGAAATTGATGGACAATGGAAGTCCCCTTTTTGCTAGCCGATTGCTTTGCTGATGCTTCTTCTAGCAGTAACTGTGCAGGGCTTTCAGCCAGATTTGATTGTCGTCCTCTGACATCACCATATCTACTCCTCTTCAATTCATCCAGTTCAGAATCACTTAACTTGTATCCAAGCTCCTTTGCTTCAAAGTGAAAGTTGGCGACAGATCCATCCAAGGAGCATGCAAAAAGTGAATAACCATCAGGGCTCCTGTCAAGTGAAAAGCACATTATCACTGTGAGCTTGGGTATATGGGTAATATTAACTATATTGAGGAACAAACAAGATGCCTTACCAAGATAAATCAACCACACTTTGAGAGAAAAAATGCTTAGCAACAAACAATGGTCGCGCACTCGCTGTCGTCCAAACAGTAATTGTTCTGTCCTGACTTCCAATAGCAATAACATTATATGGTTGCTGTTCTTTTGATGATGTCTTTGATGTTCCATTGGCCCAACCAGCTGGTGCAGCTTTAGTGTCTTGCCCATTTAAGAAATTCTTGCGGAACATTGAGTTATTAAACTTAACCGCCACGATAGGCGCGTTATGCCCTAGAAAGTCAAATGTAGCAGACCACTCGCCTCTTTCAAGCACAGGGGCTGAATGCCTAGGTTTCTGGAAGCCGTGAGTCGTAGTAATGAAGTGGCCACAAGGTGACCATGCAAGTCGTCTAAAAAATGTTGAACCAAGCTGCAGGAAGAAGGAAAGTAAGAAAGGATTGCACTGAGGGCATGTTGATCATAGTAAATTATAAACTAAAGGAAACATAACATACAGATTTTTCCCAATGGCCTTCTGTCTTGTGAGCAAGACTCCAGTCACTTGTACGCCATATTATAACAGTCTTATCATCTGACTGGCTTGCAATGAAAGAGCCAATAGGATCCCAAGTAACACCTTTGACCAAGCTGGAATGCCCTCTCAAGACGGCAGTGCACATACCATTGGTCATGTTCCATATGTGAACAGTATTATCCAAGCTGCCACTAGCCAATGTTGAATCATCAGGGGACCAATTAAGATCTACCTACTTTAGGCATAGCAAAAGAAAAGGGTGTTCAATAGTTAGACAGTAACAATAACAAAAGGTAATAATAAGAGCTAAAGAAAGAGTAACAGCACAAATTCTACAAATGCTTATTTAAGAAAAACTAGGGAAGATATACAGCATGGGTGCAATTATGGAAGATAATTACCACATCTGCAGTATGCCCTCTTAAGGTCATAACAACCTTCCAATTCTCTACATCTGGAGGTTCCCCACTACCAAACTCAGATGTTCCAGAACCAGCTTTTCGCTCATGAATTAGGATAACCTGATCATCTGATCCAGAAGCCAGATAGCGGCCATGCCTTGCCCATCTCACACAGTTTACTGATCCAAAATGGTCACGCATTGTAGCTAGCAACCCTTGGCTGGAATCATTGTTGGCATTATTCTTATCCACAGATTTCATGCTCCATATTCGAACCTATTGCAACACCACAGCAAATAAAAGGAACTTGGTAAGGAGATCACTTATGAATGATAAAAGGAAAATATGAAACAGTGGTTACACCTCAGTGTCACATAACAGGTTACAAACAAATATGTGTTAATAACATGACAAGAAATCACAACCAACTAAATCTTAAAATTTTCAATTATCACTCAACAATGAAGTTACCAATAGAATCACACCAATGCAAAACCTTCAGTTTGATGAACACTCAGTAAGCTATATAAATTATAATGCAACATGTAAGCTAATATGGACTAAAAACAACATAGCGAACCCTATGAGATTAAAATTTGGGACGATGAATAGTGACTTCACAATAAGTCCCAGTTGAAAACCCAGCACTAAATCACTAATTCTAAAATTACATCAGATATACTGCTAATGGCAAGGTTATGTACGACTAGAGAATTGTTAGCCAAAGGTGTGTTCTAATAAAACAAAATACAACTTACATTTTGGG